CCGTGACAGGGGGAGGGGCTGGATTCCCCCGTCCCTGCTCTGATCCGCCAGCGCTGACTAGCGGGACGGACGGGGAGGGGGCGGGTACAGCTGGTTCTGCCTCTAGGTAGGCAGAGCCAGCTGTCAGTCACGCAGCTGGGCGGATCCAGACATAATTGTTGGGATCCGCTTCAGCTGCGGCGTCTTAGTATACTGCGTTGTCTCAGTATATGGCGAGCTAAAACTCGCGGTATACTGAGCCTACGGTGACGGGAGGAAGCTAGTTTGTGTCCTCCCGTTACCCTAAGGAGAACTATGGGGAAAAGCCTTAACCCCATAGTTCTCCTTTAATAGTGCTCCAGATATTTGATGCACAAAACACTGAATTATGGAATGCACCAACTAATTGTTTAAGTGGAAGGGTGTGAACAATTTTATGATTTTTCGGTTCGGATCGATTTAGATGGGGTTCTTCAATTAAAAATTAACTTAATTCATTTTGGGGGGTTTTCATCATTTTTGTTCTGTACTGGTCATCTTAGTCCATACTGGTCCTCTTAGTACGTACTGGTCCTCTTAGTACGTACTGGTCATCTTAGTACGTACTGGTCATCTTAGTACGTACTGGTCATCTTAGTACGTACTGGTCATCTTAGTACGTACTGGTCATCTTAGTACGTACTGGTCATCTTAGTCCGTACTGGTAATCTTAGTACGTAGTTGTCATCTTAGTCCATACTGGTCATCTCAGTCTGTTTCTGGTCATTTTAGTCCGCAGTGGTCATCTTAGTATGTACAAGTCATCTTAGTCCGCACTGGTCATCTTAGTCAATACTGGTCATCTTAGTCCTGTGAGAATTAGCTTCCAAAGGTAGCACATTAAGGACACTTCCACTCGCTTACCACGTCTTTTTAAAGGAGAGCTATGGGGTCAGGGCTTTTCCCCATAGTTCTCCTGTGACCCAAAGCTCAGTATAAGGCGAGCTTCAGCTCGCAGTATACTGAGACGCCGCAGCCGGGACGGATCCCGACATTGCTGTCGAGATCCACCCAGCTGCGGGATTGACAGCAGGCTCTGCCTATCCAGAGGCAGAGCCAGCTGTGCCCGCCCCCTCCCCCGTCCGTTCCGCCAGTCAGCGCTGGAGGATCGGACAGGGGAGGGGGGAATCCCTGCACAGAGCCATGAGTGACAGTCACGGTTCTCTGCAGTGATAGATCGAGAAGTGAGCAAGCGATGGCATGTGTTCGCTCACTTCCCGATCTACTGAGCCGACCTGTGACAGTTTCATTGTCACAGGTTAGCTCAGATTATGAGGCTGAGTGAAAATCACTCGCCTCATAATTCTCCTTTAAGGGCTTTTTTTGCCCACTTTCATTAACTCAAACATAAAAGTCCACGCAGGTGTTTCCCTCGCAAACATAAAGTACAGCTTTTCTGTAAGCAACATAACATTTGTAAAGTCTCACCGCCTTCAGGTTGTTCCTTTAAACAAAACCTTTCACACACAGGTTGTATCCAACACGCTTGTTACACAGGCTGTTTCTTGTCCTCTTTGCCACACAGGCTGAGGCTAGTCTCTTCACCACACAGGTGATCTGCTCCCCTGTCCCCCAGACTGGTTCTAGGGTGGAGCCCTCCTGACTCCTGCACAGAGACCTCCTCTGTCGCCCACGTGGAACCACTCACTTAGCAGCCTGGGATATCTTATGGAGGCCCTAATGACCCAGCTTTCTTCAGCACTTCCCCTAGAGCAAGGGTCAGCAACCCGCGGCTCTGGAGTCGCATGTGGCTCTTTCATTCCTCTGCTGCGGCTCCCTGACCAGGGGTGGAACTACCGCCGGGGCCTCTGGGCCTGAGGCTTCCTGGGCACCCCCGGTGGAATATGCGGCAGTGCAGGGTCCCTGCACTGCCGACGGACTTCTCAGCAAGGGGGCGGGTCCTGCGACTCACCTCCTCTCCCGGCCGCGTACCTAGTAACAGGCAGCGGGAGAGAAGTGTGTCACATGCCCCGCCCCCTGCACACCATCTGGCTGGGATGCTGGCTGTGATTTTTGGCAGGTGAGTCCGAATGAGGAGTGGGGGGGAGGGGGAGCGGTGGCAAGGGTGTAATGGCACACTGTGTGCTGTTATTCCATTTCATTAGAAAAGTGGATTATAATGGGGAACATTACACTGTAATGTTCCCTATTATAATCTATTTATCTGATTAAATGATTAGACGGGACGCTGTTCTATTAAAGTTTGTGACTAGGTTGGAACGTGTGACTGGTGACGTGGTCACCCATTTCAATGTAATCCCCCCCAGTTTTTTGGGCGGTGGAATGTGTGACCACCAACAGGTCCAGCATTCCACCACTAAACTCCTGAGTTTAGTGTCACTTTAAATCAAATACAATATTTGCTTTTTTTTCTAAAAATTTCTTTTTTTTTTTAACAGGATTCAGATGTGAA